TACCTGGGTCATCTTCTCCCGGTTGGCCTTGGGGTTGAGGGGTGCCTCGGTGAGCAGGGTCGGGTGCTCCTCGGGGGCCACGCGCAGCTCGTTGTAGAAGGAGTGGTGCCAGATCTAAGGCGGGCAAAGGAGAATCGGGGTCTTACCCCAAACCGAAGCCAGGGCCAGCACCCACTCCCCGTCCCGGGGGGGGTGTGTGTGTGTCTCACCTTCTCCATGTCATCCCAGTTGGTGATGATGCCGTGCTCGATGGGGTACTTGAGTGTGAGGATGCCCCTCTTGCTCTGCGCCTCGTCGCCCACATAGCTGTCTTTCTGCCCCATGCCTACCATGACACCCTAACGCCGGCGGGAGAGACGGCCTCGTTAGCCTCATTTCGGTGATTAAAGCAGGGTGGGGGGTGGCCTGGGGGCTGCCGCTCGCCCCCCCCCTCCCCGGGTACCCACCTGGGGCCGGGGCCGCCCCACGATGGAGGGGAAGACGGCGCGGGGGGCATCGTCGCCGGCAAAGCCAGCTTTGCAGAGGCCGGAGCCGTTGTCGCAGACCAGGGCGGTGGTCTCCTCCTCACACATGGTGGGGCCGGGAGCGGTTGGTGTTCAGGGGGACCTGGGGGAAAAGCTGGGGCGAGGGGGAAAAACAGCGTTAAAGGGTGGGTGGGGACCGGGTTACGCCGCGCCACCGTGTCCGGCTTTGGCTGTCGGAAGGGTTGGAGTCCTTGGGGATGTGCAGCCCCGCAAAATCCTCCGCGGGCTGTGCCGAGGGGCGGCTGCCGGGTCCGCCCCGGTGCGACGATGCTGGGAGTGGGGTGATGCTCGTCCCCCATGGGTGCCGCTCCGTGCCAACGCTGCTTCTCCATCCTTCGCCAGCCGGTGCCCAAAATAGGACCGCTGCCAAAGCCTGCTGCCCGCGCTCGCCCGGCAGCGGTGCTCCCTGGGGAGCTCCGGTGTCACCGTCCCCGGCCAGTGCCTGCCAAACAGGCAGGGGGAAGGCAGGCGTCCCTCTCGTCCGGTCCTGTCTCGGCAGCCCCTTGCCACTCTGCCATCGCGTCCTTTCCCAAAAATGGGAAAAAAATAGCCCTCCGCTAGCAGATGCGCTCCCGAATCCGGAGGGAAGCAGGCAAAAACCTCGCGGGAGCCCAAAAAGAAAAAAACCCCAAATCACAGGGATTTCTGGAAGAGCACGACCTGCTTTGGCCGCAGCCCAACTCTCGTTGCCCCCGGAAGCCCCCGGCTGCAGGGTCGTGCCGGGGTTGGCACCCTCCCCGTGCCATGCGAAGCGAGCCGGGGCCACCCCATAAGCGCTGGGGCACCCCGAACTCCCCCCCGGGGTGTT